ATGATACAGATAATTCAGGAGCACCAAATAATAAGAGAGAGCTATTCATATATGTAATTACAATTATAATTAATAAATTTTTATTTAATTTAGTTATAACATATTTAAATTCCTTTTTAAAAAATTAATAAAAAATTAATATTTTATAAAAATTTTATATAAAAGGAGCTCTCTCACTTAGTTTGTTGGTACTGTTGCTAATGGAGTAAGTGCCTAAATTTGAACCGTAAAAACAACGTCTCATTTTTAATTTTTAAAATTATCATATCATTTAAATTACCACTAACAAATTAATATACCTGTGCGAGTACACACGGTGCCAATGGCATACATGAAATACTGAAAAAAACATGAGCATGATCCATATTGTCAGTCTATTTTTTAAAAACCGCATGTTAACTTAAAATTAAATAAATTTTTAATTTATCCACGAACAAAATATTTGTTTTCATCATTTAATTATTTATATAATATATTATCTCTCGAAACCAAATTGTTATTAGTTTCGTACAGAGTAATGTTATAAGAAAATATTTTAACTACATTACAACTTGGTTAGTTATATAATTTTATGATAATTTTTATATGACTATAGCGCTTTGGATTTTTAACGTAATATAATATATTATAATATTATTTAATTAATTTGTAATATTTGTTAATTAATAAAAAATTAAAATGAATAAGTAAACATAAGCCCAGTAGCATGTAGTTAATAAAACTGTAAATATATTTATCATATAATTTACTGTAATGTCAAAAGTTATACAAATTAAGTTTTGGATTCAGAAACACGCAAGAACTTTTAATTTTAAAATTTTATATTATCTAAGATACAAATTAACATACCTGTGCCAGCACACACCGTTCAAATGGCATAAATACGTAAAAAAGTTTTTTTTAATATGATTAGCTTGTTTATACTGTACTAATAATATGTATAGAGCGTTATTCAAATTGTCTGTCTAATTTTTGGATATCGCATTTTAACTTACTTTAAATAATAAATAATCTTTTAAATTAAGCAATGAACTAAATATTTATTTTCATCATTTAATTGTAAAATTTATAATAACCATTATCTCTCGGAAACCAGGTTTATATTAGTTTCATAGAGAAAATTGTTACAAAACTTATGTTAACTTCATTACAGTTTGGTTTTTATGTTATTATATTTTATTCAAACAACTTATAAATCATTAACTATTTAAAATCAAATAAAATTATTAAATTTAAAAATCAAAATCATATGAAAATCCTTAAATTACACATTATATTTTCATTTAATAATCATACTTGCATTTAAAACTATATAACCTATTAAGAAATCTATTTTTTGCAATAATAATTATTATTATTAAAACGTTTTACGATAATAATAATTATCTTTCATATTTATTTATAATACTCAGTTTACAAGAATATACAAAACATTTAAATATTGTAATGTATTCTAATATTCAAATAAATATCATTTTTATGTTTTTAAAATAATCTTTACAAATCATTATTTGATCTAGTTATTATTATACGTGCAATTATGAATAAGGATTTGTTAAATATAATATATATTTGTTTTTTAATTACAATCCTATGGGATGTTTGTGTTTTATACATATGGAAAAGATCTTGATACAAATAATATAAACAAAATAATGTTCATATGCTTTGTGTTGAAAAATATTTTCATTTTATACAAATTAAAACATATTAGTATTATTTGCTGACAAAAATTATAAACACATATATAATTTACCCAACATTAAAATTTGATTACAGTACATATTAGTAAAATAATTAATAATTAAACTAGTTCTAGCTACTATTATTATTATATTATGATTACATTATATATTTGTATGTAGGGCGAACAATTTTTCCATGATAGCTAAATATATATATAATTTTTATTTATGACTAGCTATTTACTAGTAATTATGGAGTTTGTCTAAAATTTATCTCAATTATGTAAATATCATAAATAATTTGGTCGATAAGACTAACATTATATATTTGTATGTAGGGCGAACAAATTTTCCATGATAGCTAAATATATATATAATTTTTATTTATGACTAGCTATTTACTAGTAATTATGGAGTTTGTCTAAAATTTATCTCAATTATGTAAATATCATAAATAATTTGGTCGATAAGACTGCAGTCATAATCGCATTTCGCTAATGAAATGCTAAATTACATACAATTATACGGGATTTTATTTAATACATTAAGGTCATCATTTTTGTGTATATACTGGCAACAATTATTTTAATGTAATCTTTATCAATTCATCTCGCACTTTTATTAATAAACAGGTCAATGTTTATAATCATAATATTTTTGACATCCATTTTCTTTAATCAATATTTGTCAAAAATGCAATGATCTGGTTAATTCGTCAGTATTATACATGGTGAGTTTATAAGGTAATGATGCAGTGCTGTGGCAAGTTATCCCGCAAATAATTGATGAGCTCTCTGGTAGCCGCCGGACAGTTAGTCAGCTCCAGTTCCTGAAGGTTTTGCATTTGTACTAAACATGAGAGTCCGCCGATTGTCAACTGTGGACAGCCTGTCATTTGAAATACATATATTTATTATAAAATGAATATAGATAATTAAATAATACACCTAAAGCAAATAAATATTATTTATAAAATTTAATTAAATCACATTTATTGACTTATGAGTTAAATTAATAAATAATTTTTAATGTTATTTTAAATACTGGAAAATCGTGAGAATTATTATCCAAAAAATAAACAAAATCCTTATAATTATAATATTAAATATTTATATTTTAATATAATTACAGTGCCTAGATTAAATACAAAAAAATCCGTGGATTTTAATTTTTCTAAATAATATTATGATTTTATTAGAAATATAAGATTTAAACTAAAAACAATAGTATCAAGATTAATTATAAAACAAATGCTTACTGGTTTTAAAACTCAAATTTTTTATGAAATTAAATTACATTTAGGAGTGAAATAATTATAATAATAATATTTATAATAATAGTTTTTAAACACTATTTTAAAGTTTACTAAAAATATTAAAAATACTTAAGTTATCATAAAACAAATAAACAAAATTAATCCATATAATTATAATATTATTTATATTTTAACAAAATTACAGTTTCCAAATAAAATACTAAATTTTGCAGAATAATTTTAAAATTTGGATCGAAATATAAAACGTAACCTATATCACCTAGATTATCAATAGTAATTACAAAAACAAATGTTTACCGGCAATGGACAGACTTCTAAGGGATCGCATGGAGCACAGGGTTTGTAGACCAAAGTCCCGCACCTGTGGACACCATCGGAGTGACAAATGGCAGAGACGTGTCATTGTGGCCACGTATCCCATTCCGATGCATGTTATGTGTAAACACCTAATTGCAACATACATTCAAATAAATGACCTGGCAAATGTATTATTATACATAATAAATGTCATATTATATTATATTATAAGTTGTGCAATATATCATTATAACTAGCGTGCCTATTACACATTTATAGCGAATGACCTAGAAGGTATTAATAAATCAAAGTTTCAGTTTAATTTATTATACAGTATTTTCTTTGTATTGTATAATTATTAGGTTACATAACACCTACACACTTAATAAGCCTACACGAGTAGGCAATAAAAATCTATTCATTTATTGTTATAAAATTTGAATGTGGAATATGTGCAAGGTTAGCGTTATTAATAATGTGGATTATATTAGATAAATAGGGAAATGTCAATACAAATATGACAATGTTTGCTTAGTAGATAAATTATTAATATATCCATTGTATGCTTATGTAAGCAATTCGTGCAAAGTGTGATAGCATTTAGAAAATATGAAATGAAAATTTAAAACTACATTGAACAAAAAAAATTGCGTAGGAATGTTTGCACTAAGCTGGTAAAATCTGGTTAATTTGAAAAGTTTAAAAATAAAATCATACAAAATATAACACGTATTTTTATTTTAATCATTATAATTTTAAAGTAAATATTCCTAATAAAACTTATATTATCATAGACCCTGCTGGTAAATTTTTAAAAATGTGCTAGATATCTATTTCTTTACGGAGTAAATTGCTTGTTTATTTTATGCAAATTTTGTAAAGGACCTTATTCATTCAAATAATACAACATCTAAATATAATTGTGCTCATATGACTGTCCATTTAATAATGACAACAAACCGGTCGAGTATAAGATGGGTGAGTGTGTCGGACAGGTCGCAGGCGATGTACTCGAGGGCGGCGTCGCTGACTCGGGGACACCACGAGAGGTCCAAATACCGGAGTCCTCGCACCTGTTCGGCGATCACTTCGATCGCATCATCGCTTACCTACAAATTAACGACAAAAATGTTTTTCATTAAAAATATATAAATATTTTATAATTTTTTTTATAAACATTTATATAAAATACTAATCAATGAAAAGATATAATAACTGGTATATCATAACTGCCAAACTTATTACAGTGAAATAGAAAATGCAAAATTAAAACTACTTCTATGTTTTCCTTACAGTTTTAATTATTAAATTAATTATTTCAAAAGAAATTAAAATTTAAAACATTTAAAAAATTAGCTTTAGCTTGCTTACTTTGGAACAGCCGGACAACGACAGTGTATGCAAATTAGGCAAACCATGGGCCAGATTAGCTACACCCTGGTTAGACAGCTCCCAGCAGTGGTGCAACATTAACACTCGTAAATTTTCCCTGGCTAATGTGCTGCCAAAATACGCCATGGACGTGTCGGTGACGTGATATGCCTGATAATTTGGGGCAGATTTAACTTATTAGTAAAATTTCTAATATAATAATTAATCAATATACATTACCTGGATTTGCAATTTTTTCAAGCTGGGTAACATTTGACATATGGCTGCAATAGTCTCGTCGGATATATTAATGCAGTCCATTATAATCAAGATCTCAAGTTTAGGTACCAAACCGGCCCATAAGACTGTGTCTGTTATCTCATTACAGCCTAAAGAGAATCAAACAAAAATAATTTTTATATTTTAATCACTTTTGTAAAATTAAATTTAAATTAAACACGCCATTCCCCAAAAATTTTGATTTTTATGATTTATAAAACAATAGTAAATTATTTTATGTTTCATACAGTTTCAGAGTTTTGTATTGATATTTGATTTAAGTATTAAATTTATAACTTATAAGATTGAAGTTATGTTTTATAGAAATTTATTCATGTTCCTCTGAGCACTTATAAATGTTGTATAAAACAATAAATTAGATTCTATTCTTAATTTTATTATTATTATTATTTAAAATATACAAAAATAAGTATCGTGTCCCTTTAATCCAAAAATATTGATTTCTATGTATTATAAAATTATACTAACTAATTTATATGTGTTACAGTTTTTAATGTATAATTACTTGTAAAAACTAATTGCACTTTAGACTAGTGCCGAAAATAAATTATTTATAAAACTAAGTATATTTAAGCAAATATAATTTATAATTTACATATTTAAATAAAATATACCATGCTAACAAAAACATAAAAAGAAATATTAATAATTACCCGATAACTCTAACTTAAGTAGACTGTTGGACAGGGAGGCCAGAAACACCTCCAGTCCCTTATCGCTGACCGACGAGTTCCTGAGGGCTGCGGACGTCAACCGATTCAGTAGTGTTGGCCGCGTTCTGGACGTGAAGTCCACGACATCCCCGTCCGACGCGCCGAACATACAGATGCTGTCGAACCCCCGCACGTCTATACTGTAGTATAGGTTGGCTTTGATCTCCTCGACCGTCTGGTCAGCACTGGCTGTTAGGGTCCGGATGTCCTGTCCGTCCACTTCGGTAGTACCGCTCGAATCCGGTAGAGTTGTCAACGATTTCTCGCGTCTCAGTTCAGTACACAATATAACTGGCATTAAGTGCTTCCAAAAGCGTTGGTCACTGTATAGCAGGGTTTCCCACGTTTTGCATACCTGTCCACACAATCAATATGAATTAGTCGAGTAATTACTTTAATTATTACAAAATAGTATAATTGAAAACTTTAATTTAAATGTGTAATGATTTTATTTTAAAATAAATTAGTGAATTGAACTTCCCAAAATAAAGTGTAATACGATTTTTCAATTATAGTAAAATTATTTTACTTAAAAATTACAGTTATTTTATATAAGATTTTTAATTTGAAACTGTAATTATTTGAATAAGTTATTTTAATATCTTACGAAATTTAAGATAATTTTAAAATGGGAAGTCATTCTTCGAAGCTTTTACTAAAAATATATTTATCGAGAACATATTTTAATTAATCACTAACTAATTTAATAATTAATCTGTAAAATACATATGAAATTGAAAAATAAGTTAAATTATTAAATAAACTGTAAATATAATTATTATATAATTTAATGTTATGTCAAAATTTATATAAATTTAATTTTGGTCACAGATAGACAGGCCTTAAATTTTAGATAATTATCATGGTACAGTATCATCACACAATTTAACATACCTGTGCTAGTACACACCGTTCCAATGGCATAAAATATGTAAAAAATTTCATCAAAAATTTACAATCGGTCCACAATTCATCCAGGTATTTGGCCCTTTGTACGTTAAGCAAATAGTTTTTCCTCCTGGCCCTCCACGTCTTAGGCGGCGCCTGTGGGGGCGGATCGCCATTCCTCGACCCCCGTCTACGGGGTGTGCCGTTAGGTGTGCCCAAAAGGGCCGGTACTTTGGTGGGCGTACTGTTGTTATTGTGATTATTGCTGCGATTATACCAATTGTTAACATGTTTTCCGTGTTTATGATTATCACAACTAATCAATTGCGAGGACTCGTCGCACAGGGGTTTGAGCTCCGGCTGGTGTTTGTTGTTGGAAGCACTGGTAGCCGAGGGGTCGACGACGGTGGCTGTGGTGGGGGCGCCGGTGGTCGAGCTCTGAGGCTGCGGTGGTTTGGACTTACTCTGGCGGACAGCGATGCCATTGAAGCACCGGCTGAGCTCCGCGGCCGCCCTTTTAGTGAACGACACTTCGGCGGACATACCCGTAGAGGTGGAACTGGAACTGCTTCTCCACGCGGCCCGGAGTCCACCCAATATGCACGCCGTGATGACGTCGACGGGCGCACCGGTATTATCCACAGCTGCCCTATCCGTCGCGTGTTAGACGATCACCCCTCGCATGTGGGACACCCTATATGTATGCCATAAATGGTTGGTTTAGTAACAGGTAGTTATCATTGGATTATAATGTTATAATTAGGGATGTTAAAATATAATAATAGTCTCTTTTAGGTATATAAAATTAATTAATAGTAATAATTAGCAAACAGTTAATAACCATTATTGTAATTATATATTTTTGAATTAGATTTCTCTATACTTTAGTACAATTTAGTTACTAATTAAGATTTGTCAGTCGTGTATTTTGAATACCCCATTTAACACAAGTAAATAAAATATAAATTTAATAAACATAAAATTGTTTTTATTAACCAAGAAAATTTTTAAAAAATCGGTACCAAGTATTACTTCCAATTGTTTCGTATAGTTTTCATTAAATTATTGTAAAAATTCATTTAAACTTAATTACAGTCTGTTTTGTTATTTATTATATTTTTATTGTTACAAATATTTATGGACAATAGTCAAAATCAAATAAATTATGTGCATTTAATTTTACAAAGTTATTAAAAAACATATTTAAAACTTATTATTCATCAATATGGGTTTTGGTTGAGCAATAATTTTTAAAACCCATACTATTAATTAACCTTCAAGCAAAATTATTAACTATTTACAAGTTAGTAAACTACTCAGAAAAATAAACTAACTTGTTTAAAATTTACTTGACCAACCACACCACACTTATTTTAAATTTATTGTGACAATAGTCATTAAAATACATGTTAACTGAGTTACAGTTTGTTTTTGTTTGTCATTATATTTATTTGTCGTAAACAAATTAATTTCTACAAAAGCCGTATACAATCAAATAATATATCATTTGTTTTTAGTAACTCAACACAAAATCTAATTTATTATATTTGGGTGTATTTTTAGCCTTCAATCCCCATATCACACACACAATGGCTATGTATCATACGATACAAACACCTGAGCACCGGGAGCATACAAGTCCATTGTATACACTATGTTTACTATTATTACATTAATGTACTGTACTAGCTAACAAAGATAATTTTTTAAAAATCTAAATTAGAGTGCTTTTTCTCTATAGATCAAAGTCTAGACTTATTTTTATATTTGTTTTTCACCCAAAAAGTTTTTGTCTATTGAAAACCAATAGCATTAGGTATTTACTGTATTTGTTTTCTCCCATTAATACAGAATATTCTGTGACTAAAGAATATTTTTATATAATAAAAAAGTTTATATCCAGTTTCTTAACTACCTAAAAACATGTTGTTGCTAGCTACTTTAGTACATACACATAAGTGTTTACATCGAAATCATAATGAGTTTTAATATAAAAATAAAATAGTTTTTTCCATTCGTACTTAAAATCAAATATTGTTTTGCCAGATGTTTGCTCAGGTATGCTGTAATGGGGTAGGTATATGACAAAAACAACCTTATATTAGATTAATGTATATAAAAGGTTAAGCGACAATATAATTTAATTTTGTATGGTTATAACCTTGTGACATTTTCACTGTATTAACACACAATAGGCACCAAAAAATCAATTTTTATTTATTTTCAAATCCCCTTTGCTATCAATTATGTATGTATAGGCTATACAGTATAGCTATTCATTGGCACTTTATTCATACTATTTTGTGAATAAGCCAGATAACAATTTATATTGCTAATTACTTTTGTATGTATAATAGAAATATGTTTAATGTATTATATATTTAATTAATATGGTAATTGAAAATTAATTGGTTAATTCAATAAATATAATTGCAAAATTAATATAAAATTTTTATTAATAACATGATTTTTAGTAAAATAATTCTTAATTGTTATTTATTCAGTATTAAACATCTACTTAATACTTAGTATGGACTTTATTCAATAATAATTTGGTTAACTTACTTTTAAATAAATCAATCAATTATTAAAATCTATAATCTCAAAGTCTTAACAAGCAAAATATGAAATCTGTTTTGTTGAAAACATTATACAGTATTTTTAATGAGACAGGATTATACAAAATAAAGACAATCGATTGGCTGTTAATCAAAGATTAACAAGTAAATATCGATAGTCATAGCAATCATACACTAAACCAGATTCATCATAGATTAACAGTCACTTCGATTGTCATTATTTTGTATAAACCCATGTTATATTAACTTGGTAAACAAAAAATTTTAAATAAATATATTATTCAATAATATCTTAAAACACAACAAATTAACCTATTTTAAGCAAATATGTCTATAATTTATATTTCCCTAATAAATCGAGAGCTGTCTCTAAACAAACACAAAATATTTCTCAATTTCCTAATCTCTCTCTCTCTCTCTCTCTCTCTCTCTCTATTTTGATGGAAAAATTAATCATTTGGTTTTGTAATGACATTTTCTATTCATATCTAATTTGAATAATCATTTTCCTTTTGAAATTAATAAAATAATTGGATTTCCATATTGAAATAAATTTTCTTATTAACATTAATATACTCACAATAGAAAACATAAATTATTAACAATATGTAAGAACTGGAACTTTAATCATTTAAAATTAAAATATTTTATAAAATTTAAAATTATATTTAAGTTGGGAATCATACTACGGTTACATTTTTAAAAATTATATCTAAATAAGTTTTTAAATTAATTTTTTCTATAATCAATTAGTACTAATTGAATGCATAATTTACATATTAATTACATCCATATGGTTAATTACGTACACGATTGCCACAAACAGATCTTGATAACTATAAATAGATTTATCTGTATAATATCATGCGTGCAGATAAAACAATTGATATATGAGCCTGAAGCAAAAGTCACATTCATTGCCTAATTGTGAGCATATAATTCAAATACAGATCCCTTATCTACTCGTATATTAATATATCGATCGTTCATTTGATAACATATTTTAGTAATGAAAATCCAAAACACAATCACAAAAAGTACAATACATTTGCCATACATTAGCAAAAATATTAATAGATATAGAGATATATATATTAATGGGTTCGTGACGTCCCAATGGTAATCAATTTTTAATGTATAAAATGGGCATAGCACAATTAAGGTTTTCATTGTCATTACCAAACATAATGATATAGCATGGCAAATTAATGTGAAAATGGGTTTGATTATTGTAAAATTTAAAAGCCATTTACCACGCTAAATATGTCAATTATGTTTTCAATTTATAAAATCAAATACCATTTATAATAAATTAATAAGAAATGTATATCTGAGATTAATTAATAAAAGTTTAATTTATATTTTACAATAAAAAGATTAATTAATATGAATTATATTTAAAAGACACGTATTATAATAGTTTGACATATATGTTAATATTTATTATTTAATATGATAAAACATTTAAACATTTATAAAATTGGTACTACTACCAAACAGCTAATATTGTATTTCATAAATTTAAATGTTTTACAAAATTAAATATTAATTTCAACGAAATTATTTATAAATCTAATATACTTTACAATGTTTCCACTTTGATATAACCTTGGTCTACTGTACTTTATTTCTATAATTAATACCATACTAATTATATCGATATTTCTTTGCATACTCCTATTCATAATCCTATTACGAAATAATAACTATAAATAAAATGATTGTGTTTTAATGAATGCCAAAAATAAACTTATTATCGATTTATTTTCTCGATCTCATAGTTTTAATTAGGATTCAAGTATTTGTATATAAATTGGCTCTTAATGTACGGGACAGTCGTACTAAACAAATGCATTTATACTCCAATCGAGAGAGAGAGAGAGAGAGAGAGACTTAAGATGCTGATGAGAGGGAGAGAGAGCCACTTTAATCAAGATGCTTTAAGTATACATATCCTACTGCATACACAAGTGTATTACAAGTTAATTGTTTTAGTTATATATATCAGAGTATCTCTTATTTGCACTTTCATTAGATTATTAAACGTATGCTTACGTCATAAACACGGGTATTATGTCTGGAAAAAAGAGGTTAAATAGATATATAACCCGGGGTTGTTAGGCCAGGGAATTATCTGTATGAGAGTTTCGTATTTCTATATGAACTAGTAAGGTTATTAAGCACTGGTGATGTGGTTGTGGTGGTTATTTTTAACTTTATCATAAAGGATATTGATTATGAAATGTAATATGATGACTTATTCACATAAGTCGGAATATATTGCTTTTCATAAGCCAAATATAATTTCAGCATTATAATTTTATAAGATCTTCAACTATATTTTTATTACGGTATAATACAATACATAATCTAAAAACTAAAAATATTATTTATCCGAGCTGATTATTAAATTTTATGTATAGTAAAAGGTATAATGTAAAATCTAAAATTTAATAGTGAATAGATTATAACCTAATAAAATATTTATCAGTATACAACTAAAAATTTACATATAATCTACAGTTCCTTAAAACAATTTTTCTACTGATACTTTATACAGTAATCTCAACTATTTTTAAAATTAAATTTATAAAGTTTTATTTAACCAAAAAATAAAATATTATACACTAGTTTAATGAATAAATAAATATTAAGTGTTTTTTATAATGAATAATTTAATGTTAGTAAAAATTACAATGTAAAAATTATAAAATATATTTATTGATTATAATACTGTATACATTGGTTATAAAATCAACGGGGTTAGCCATCCCATATCTTTATTCACAAAATTAAATTGATTATATTACTGAATACTTTAATATAATTTACAGTTGCCTGATACATTTAAAGAATTGCCGCTTACATAGAGTTATAAATTTATTTACAAATTGAATGTTAAATACGAAAACTATATCGATCATTGACATTCTGGTGCTCACAAACTAAAATTGACCAGTGACCCAATATAAATGATTGGACATTTTTCAAATACCAATCAACTCGGAGCTATAAAATATAAATCACTGCAACTTATAAACCAGTATAAACGTAGTCAACTGGATAATTTCTTTTATTGCTTTTTATAAATTGAATTATATTTACGGTCACAGAGAGAGAGAGAGAGAGAGAGCCACTTTAATCAAGATGCTTTAAGTATACATATCCTACTGCATACACAAGTGTATTACAAGTTAATTGTTTTAGTTATATATATCAGAGTAAATTAATTATTTTCAAATTAAATATAAAATGTTATTTTTCTAATTAATTATACTTAATATAAATTTTCTGTGCATAATATTATCAAACTGTATATACAATTATAAATAATAAATTATACTATTTTGTGTTAAACATTTCTCTTAAGTTTATACGATAGGCGCTCATTGGGATAGTCGATATTAATCGAAACCTGGTCTTTTCAATCATATACTACTTGCTAAAGGTATCGATATCGACTATCTATACTTTCCACAATGATGCCCTATCGTATAAACTTAAGAGATTTATAAAATTGGTACTACTACCAAACAGCTAATATTGTATTTCATAAATTTAAATGTTTTACAAAATAAAATATTAATTTCAACGAAATTATTTATAAATCAAATATACTTTACAATGTTTCCCTTTGATATAACCTTGGTCTACTGAACTTTATTTGTATAATTAATACCATACTAATTATATCGATATTTCTTTGCATACTCCTATTCATAATCCTATTACGAAATAATAACTATAAATAAAATGATTGTGTTTTAATGAATGCCAGAAATAAACTTATTATCGATTTATTTCTTGATCTCATAGTTTTAATTAGGATTCAAGTATTTGTATATAAATTGGCTCTTAATGTACGGGACAGTCGTACTAAACAAATGCATTTATACTCCAATCGAGAGAGAGAGAGAGAGAGAGACTTAAGATGCTGATGAGGGAGAGAGAGCCACTTTAATCAAGATGCTTTAAGTATACATATCCTACTGCATACACAAGTGTATTACAAGTTAATTGTTTTAGTTATATATCTCAGAGTATCTCTTATTTGCACTTTCATTAGAGTATTAAACGTATGCTTACGTCATAAACACGGGTATTATGTCTGGAAAAAGAGGTTAAATAGATATATAACCCCCGGGTTGTTAGGCCAGGGAATTATCAGTATGAGAGTGTCGTATTTCTATATGAACTAGTAAGGTTATTAAGCACTGGTGATGTGGTAGTGGTGGTTATTTTTAACTTTATCATAAAGGATATTGATTATGAAATGTAATATGATGACTTATTCACATAAGTCGGAATATATTGCTTTTCATAAGCCAAATATAAGATTATAATTTTATAAGATCTTCAGCTATATTTTTATAACGGTATAATACAATACGTAATCTAAAAGTAAAAATACTATTTATCCAAACTGATTATTAAATTTTATGTACAGTAAAAGGTATAATGTAAAATCTAAAATTTATTAGTGAAATTATAACTAAATCATGGAGTTCAAAAATATTTTTCAGTATACAACTAAAAATTTACATATAATCTACAGTTGCTTAAAACAATAATTGTTATACAACAATTATTGTACTACTGATATTTTATACAGTAATCTCAACTATTTTTTAAATTAAATTAATAATGAGTTTTATTTAACCAAAAAAAATACACTAGTTTAATGAATAAATAAATATTAATGTGCCTTTTATAATGAACAATTTAATGCTAGTAAAAAGTACAATGTAAAAATTATAAAATATATTTATTAATTATAATAAATACATTGGTTATAAAATCTGTGGGGTTAGCGGGTGCCATATCTTTATTCACAAAATTTAATTGATTATATTACTGAATACTTTAATATAATTTACAGTTGCCTGATACATTTAAAGAATTGCAGCTTACATAGAATTATAAATTTATTTACAAATTGAATGTTAAATACAAAAACTATATCGATCATTGACATTCTGGTGCTCACAAACTACAATTGACCAGTGACCCAATATAAATGATTGGACATTTTTCAAATACCAATCAACTCGGAGCTATAAAATATAAATCATTGTAACTTATAAACCAGTATAAACGTAGTCAACTGGATAATTTCTTTTATTGCTTTTTATAAATTGAATTATATTTACGGCCAGAGAGAGAGAGAGAGAGAGAGAGGGAGAGAGAGAGAGAGAGAGCTATAAGATTGAAGTAAACTGTATCTTATATAACGACTAAATTTGAAATAAAATAATAAATTTTGTCGCAAAATATTTGTTAAATAATTCATTACAAGTCATAAACCGAAAACTCAATCATATTTTTATCGCTATTGCTTTAATGTTATTGTTTAATACACTTGTAGTCCATAATATTTAACATGACTTTACTTTTTATATAACTATTTATTTTGTATTTATACTTATTGTCACAAAAATACTATTTGTTGTTTTCATAGTGCGAACAAAAATATTTATCTTCATCTCGGTACTTTAATTTATTACACACTTTATACCATAAAATGCCATAAATAATGGTAACCAGGGTTCATTCACACCAGATTTTTTCATATACTTGTTATTTTTATTAATTATCTAAAAATATATTAATTTTATATTTCTATAGACATGTGAGACTAAAGCTATTTTCATAATAAAAAGGATTAATTTTGAAAATTATTTTTTCGCAAACAAAACATGTGTATAAATATTTTATGTCATTACAATGATAAAAGTCATAAATATTATAATAAATGATTCAAATTAATTGATTTCTTATGACAAAATGTATTTTGTATTTTATATTTGCTTAGCACAGACTGAGGTCTTATATAAAAATGTTAACAACTATATGATTGTTAAATTGTATGTTTATTGGCGTATTGTGATGGTAAAAAAGTAATCTATCATTTTTATATAATGTATTAATTTTTTGCTTTCAAAATATTTATGACATTTTTTTAGGAACAGATATCTTTGTCGTTAAACTTAATAATTAATATTATTTTTAAAAAATTTTTGTCAGTGCTTAGCCATGTTATTACCAATATTTTATATATTCATTACTTTAAATTATAATAATAAAACTAACTAAACTATATTACAGTTTGCATACTGGATATTCTAAAATTATAATAAAATATATTTTTAAGATACATAAATTTTTACATACTTGTATAACATCTAAACTTAACAACATAATTTATTAAATATAAATCCAATTATATTTACTAATTAAATTATCAGACATTGCATGTAACATGGTATGTTCACAATAAGCAAACATTGTAGACAATATCGTGTATTACTATGAGATTCACTATTAGCTGTCATAAGCCAGTGCTAAATAAACGGATATTTAAGGTAAATACAGAAAAGTAACTAAAAATTTAGACCATAAATAAAATAATGTTCTATTGGTTTATCTCAACAAAGATTTTCCACTTGTCTTGGAATCACTGCCCACACGAAACATACCTTTCCCTCCACAGAGAGATAGACAATATACAGTACAGTCACTGTACTAAAGTGTATTGTGTGTGTGTATGTCATACACTGTATGAGCACCGGTATGTAAAAGTATCTCCCATAACAACTATGAATAGCCAGTAAAACACTGGAATAATAATCCAATTTATATATAAATTGGTATAAATTGATGGAAAAGAGAAAAAAGAGATTGTATT